AAAACTTTCACAAGTGTTTGCTCTGATCCTCCAAAACAAGCCTAATTGATTAGCTATGTATAACAGATGAGCAAACTAAGAAATAAATGAAATGACTTGCCAAGTTCAGAAGAGAAGGTACTGACATTAAAAGGATTAGAAACTCATAATTACTATCGCCTAGCTCTTTGCACAAGCCATTAGTCTATGCCTTTGTCTACCTTCATTAGCTTTTGTATGTGGTTTTTGTGACTACACAAAAAAACATTGAAATTGAAAGTTTGTATGCAGCACTTTTTATATCTGACGTCTTAAATCATTCTGGAATGCATTAACAGAAGTGTTGTGAACAAGACACGAGAAGTCATTCTTCCCCTCTACTCTGCACTGATTAGTCCTCAATTGGAGTATTCTGTCCAGTTCTGGGCACCACGTTTCAAGAAAGATGTGGAGAAATTGGAGAAGGTCAGAGAAGAGCAACAAGAATAATGAAAGGTCCAGAGAACCTTCTATGAAGGAAGACTGAAATAATTGGGCTTGTTTAGTTTGGAAAAGAGAAGATTGAGGGGGGGACATTATAGCAGTTTTCAGGTATTTAAGAGGGTGTCACAAGGAGGAGGGAAAACAATTGTTTTCCTTGACCTCTGAGGATAGGACAAGAAGCAATGGGCTTAAACTGCAGCAAAGGAGGTTTAGGTTGGACACTAGGAAAAACTTCCTAACTGTCAGGGTGGTTAAACACTAGAATAAGTTGCCTAGGGAGGTTGTGGAATCTCCATCTCTGGAGATATTTAAGAGCAGGTTAGATAGACATCTATCAGGGATGGTCTAGATGGTACTGGGTCCTGCCACGAGGACAGGGGACTGGACTCAATGACCTCTCGAGTTCCCTTCTCGTTATAGTGTTCTATGATTCTATGATAATGCATTTGCAATTTTGTGTGTGCAAATTATTGTAGGGGGTATTTTATAGCAGTTAGCATTTCATTGTGTCTGTAGATTTACTAGTGAAATGCTACCATAATAATTCACCCCCAAAAAACTAGAGGCAAAAGATCAGAGACTAACTTAGAAAACATGTTGTCAGTACATTTTAAAAAAATAGAAAATGCACTGGCAAATAAACTTGTTTAACTGACTACTTGGAAAAGACAAACTTTGGTATATATCTAATTTGCATTCAAGCCCAAACATCTCATTTTCTATTTTAAAAGGGTATTTAATTAACTATTGATTTCTACTCAATTATTCAAGGCCAAAAATGATCAATATTGATGGAACAGATATTTCACCACCACTATTGCCTAAATCAAATGAAATGTTAGAGGCCTGTTACATTAGAATAAGCAAAGCCCAGCTGCTTTACCTTTAAATAAGATAGTACTTTGTATTTGTTCTTTTCATATTGCTACTATTAAGTGAACACTCCATAAATTGTATAAGTGTGTGTGTATGTATGTATATATATATATATATAGGTCTTAATTATAACAGACATAACACAAATATTGTGTCCCACACCAATGGAGGGCCACACGTGGCCCATCAGTGTTCTATAGCCATGTCTCCGTTTGCTGTACTGGAGATTGATCTTCTGGTATTCAGTTTAGCGATTCATGAGGAGTAAGGGAAGCCAATGGGACCATTTGCTCCCATTGACTTTCCAGTGTGAAGACACCTCCACGACTTAAGGTATATTGATTCCAGGTATGCTCTTTATATAGCAAGAGTCGTGTACCTTAAGCCGACCTTCCAAGTCTATTATAGACATGACCTATGTGTGGCCTGTGAGAAATTTTGTTTAATGTTGCCCACATTCAGGGTTGCCAGATTCCACTAGTTTCCGTCCACATATTTTTTTCCCCTACTGGTATTACTAAAGCGACAGGAATGTAAAGCAAGGGCAAGTGAAGTGAGTTGCATGCTGACAGCAAACAACATTGACTGTGAGAGCCGTGCGCTCCCTCTGCCTCCCATCAAAGCACTGCTACGGTTCAGTCAGCACACCCTGAAAATTCTAGGGATGCAAGCCTGGTTGGTAAAACTATCCTATGTGTGGAGGCCATCTTGGTTATGATAATCGTGTGGTTCACTCATGCAGCCCACTCAGTAGCCTGGGTTGCCCATCACTGTGCAACACGGTAAATCTCAAAATTACTTTATTATTCCAGTTTATATTCATCATGTAAAAATATCGCAATGTACTATACTAAAGAACACTGAAACGCAAACATATGGCCTTCCTCATCACAATATCCTCCACATACTGTATTAGTTGTACTTTAATAATCACTTCAGACATTCTGAACAGAAACTGTGGATGCTTTTCAATGATATTTCAAAGGATTGAAAAGCAAGAAATAATGAAGAAAGGTGTCAAATGAGAAACTTTGATAGATATTGCCTTTTGGTTGTTTTCATATTATTACATGCTGGAGAGAATGTGCACCAATGTAATCACTTGGCTCATTTGTAAGCAAAGAATTAGAAATTGGAGAAGGACACTTCAGAGTGAACAACTCAGTGGCTGGACTTTTTTGTTGGTTCAGCTGGGGGTGCTAAAAAGAAGGTAGATGAAATATAACTTGGTTTTTGACAAATCAAAATCATTTTTAGAAAAGCTTTGGGCCAGACGTGTAAAGCTTATGTAAATTATCATACAGATTTTGTAAAGTTCTGCGGAGCTTTACCAAATAACATTTGAGAATCTGGGCTACATGTTTGGATTTTAGCTTTCATGGGTTTTTTACATTTTAAAAAGTAAAGCATTTGTGTCCCACACCAATCTGTGAATGTAAAGAACAATTAGCAGATCTTACAGGGGAAATACTAAGAATTTTTTTTCTACTTTGCCTCCTTTAGTGTGTTCTCTGGATGTTACATGGTTAAGCAATATATTATATTGGTCTTCTAAATCTTGGAGTTCTTCCGCTAGGGATGTAATAGTGCAGTCAAGTAACCAATTAACTGATAAGCAAAAGCTTATAGGTTAATGCTATAAACTACACGCATTCCCTCTCCCCCTCCAATATATTTTTTAGCAGGCTGGCCAGCAGCCCGGCTCAGTGCCATCTTGCATCGGGTCCGGGACCTGTCCCTCATGAATTTAAAAGTGTATTGGGAGCCAGGTGGGCAGGCAGTCTGGCTCAATCCTGGCTTGTACCAGGTCAAGGACTTACTCCCCACTGTTGCTCTGCATTTAAAGTGTGTTAAGAGCAAGGCAGGCAGACAGCCCAGCTCAGTTCTGGATCACACTGGGTTCTGGAGATCGGACTCTCCCCACACAGGGGCTGCTGCCACCCTGCTCTGCTGCCTCTGTGGGGCGATGAGCAGCTGGTGCATAAGGGGAGCTGTTTTTTCAATTGGCTCCCCTCCCAGGCCACCTCCTGCCTGGCACCCCACGCTGCTGCCTCTGATATAGATTAACTGATTTTTTGATATCTGTACCTTACAGTAAATCCAATCATGATTTCATTTACTCAGGTAAAATACCTAATGATTGCATGGGAATTTTGTCCAAGTTTGGGGTGCAGGATGAGCTCCTTAGTCCTCATTAAAACTAAAACAAAAATACCTGCTCTAGGAATTATTTGGGGGAAGCTTTATGGTCTGTGTTACGCAGGAGGTCAGACTAGGTGATCACAAGAGGTCCTTGTGGCTTCTGAATCTGAAAAATTTCCATCAAAAATGGGAATACCATCTATAGAAGTGGTTTTCAAAAAAAAATTGTGACCCACTTGAAGAAAATCAATGATGCCTGCAACCCAATGTTTATATTTTTGACTAAAGAGCAAGCTTCAGGGTCGGGACAGGAAGAAAGAGTTTGAGATGCAGGACAGGGCTCAGGGCTGGAGCAGGGGTTTGGGATGGCTTACCTCTGGCGACTCCCAGTCAGCAGCTTAGTGGGAGTGCTAAGTGAGGCTTCCTGCCTATCCCAGCACCGCAGACCACATAGCGCCCCAAAAGTGGCCGGTAAGAGGTCTAGCTCCTGGGTGGAAGCACACAAGTGATTCTGTGCACTATTCTTGCCCACGGGTTTTACCCCTCCCCCAGCTCCGATTGGCTGAGTTCCTGCCTTAGCATACCCACTGCAAATCAGCCTTCAGCAAGGCAGTCCAGTGCCTGAGCTATCATGACCCAGTACTGGGTCACAACCTATACTTTGAAAACTATTTATTTCTAGCTCACTCTACTCTATACTATAATCTAGAATTGACAGTGAGACAATAGCATGGGATGTCTGTACACACCCATAGAGGGGAATGTTTCAGTCCAGTTTTGTTTAAATAATGGAAAGAAAGCTTAAACCTTTAAAATAACTTCGTACAAAAGTCTAAAATTTCTGACAGTGACTCCTTCCTCTATGGTAACTATTTTAGGTATTTCTAATGTGTCTATCACCCTGATACCTAAGCACCATACACAATTTTTTTTAAATGTAGATCTTTAGTGAAAATAGTGCCCTTTCTCCGTGTTCCCACATGAATGTGGTATGTGAATTTAAACAGCTAACATTGTTCAACACCCATAAAGCACACTGATTTTCCCATGCCATATCCCCTACTGGTTTTGTTTCTTTTCCAGAACATTCATACAGAAAAATCACTTTGTATTAGGGGCCGATTTCTCATTCCATTCTGTTCATTTCACCTCACCGTGTTCCATTTTTAATTGCCATTAATGTTTTCCAAGAGTACTGTGATGTTGGCATTCACATTGTCCTTTCTAAGAAGGCACTCACCAGGCTTTCCAGTTCAGTAATAATAAATAATAATAAAGACACTAAAACAGTGGGTAACTTCGTATTAAAGTTGTCTGAAATGGAGGAAAATATTCTCTAAGATTATGCAACAACAAAATGTAAGGGACAATAGTAAATGATAAAAAATAGATAACAGCAAATGTTTGGAATAACATCTTTATTTACATTGCTAAAGAGAGGAAAAAATTAAGTTCAAAGTGTTGTGTAACAAATAAACTTAAGCTTATTATGCTCTTCTATTTTTCCCCTTGTCCTGCAGCAAATGTATGTGACAAAGAATTACTGCAATGCCAGAACGGAGGAACATGCCTCAAAAACATGCGATGCCAGTGCCCTCCAGCCTACACTGGCATTTTGTGTGAGAAGTTGAAGTGTGAAAGGGATCCAGGAGGTTGCAGCCAAAACTCCGGCCAGAGGGCAGTGACACACGGCCCTCTATTACCGCTGACTGCTCTACTAGGTGTAACTGGACTTTTCATATTCTAGGTTCCGTCTGGTTGATGGCATTGTGTTCAGACTGCTTCAGGAGGAACATGCCACAAAAAAGCAAAACAAAACCCAAGCATTTGCTACTAAAATTTAAAAAAAAAGAAAAAGAATAAAACCACGTATACACTAAGAAGGCCCAACTGAACTAAGCCATATTAATTGTGGACAGCACTCTGAGTCAAAAGACTGTTCATATCTGACTCAAGACAAGTTGGCGCTGCCAATCTATTACTACAAATAACAATGCCAGCTGCAAAGTATACACAGGATTGAAAAACCTTTGACAGCTCCCAAAATGGAAAATAAAAAACATTTGCCACTTCAACATGGTGCGCTACTGTACCTCTGCCCAGTGTGTGGACCAACCAAATAGAGGCATTCTTTGCTGTCAGTGCATTGTGGGTATAAGGAAATCTGTTAAAGCTGCCATATTGGCTTGCTTCAGTCCCTGATTCCCTTCCAACCTGTGCTTTAGTGAACGTTGCTCTGTAACCCTTGTTGGTTGAAAGGTTTCTTTGTCTGATGTTAGTGATGCACATGTGTAACAGCCCCCTCAATAAATCTCAAGACAGTCATATCCTTGTATATTTTAGCAGCACTGCATCAGAAAGATGCTGTGTTCATCTACTGTACAAGAGTGGCTATAGGGAAAAAAAAGTGTATTTATCCTTTTGTATTCAAATGAAGTTATTTTTCTTGAAATAATGTACAATGTAGATTTTTTGTATTATTGACAATTTGTGTTACCAGACAATTTATTAATGTATTTAATTCTAATCAGGTAAGAGAAATATTACTTTTTATTTAGTCTTTTTTTTCTTTGCTCCTTTCATTTAATTGTGCAGAGATTTCTCTGTATGGGCAACGTGCTGGCATCAAAGAATATCAGTTTACATATATAACAAGTGTAATAAGATTCCACCAAAGGACATTCTAAATGTTTTCTTGTTGCTTTAACACTGGAAGATTAAAAAAATAAAATTCCTGCATAAACAATTTCAGGAATTTGTATTGCAATTTCTTAAGACAATTTTAAAAATTATTTTCCTTGCTCATTTTACCGTGGATTAAATACAAATTCAATGTCAGAATTTAGTTCATAATGAAGTCAGACTGATGTTTTCTTCTCTATCAAACCACTCTGAATAAAAATAGATATTTTGTTTGAGGAAAAATTTATAAAACACTGAATCTGTATTCACTCTAGTTATTCCCAGAATTATTCCAAGATTAATTTACGAAGTATTAAGGAACATTTTCTTAGTATACAACTTTTGAGGATTGAAAGTAATGAAGTCAATATAGCCGTTTCTTAAATGTGCCTTTCAAAGCTCTATTAAAAGGAAATGCTTATTTATATTCAAGTATTAGACTGCCTTGGAAACTGCAACAGCAATGGCAACCACAACACAGAAAAAAAATTCAATGATATAACTTTTAATAAAGTCAGTTTTAGTATTTAGAGGGAGTGTCAAAATATACAGACACAAGTAGATAGAAAGTGCTGCTCCAGCAAATAAAAGTTTGTTTTAAGTATTGCCTGAGGTGTAATAAATTCCTGTTTCTGACTTTTATTAGGCCAATTACTGAGTGTGACAGCAATGGATACAGAGAAGTACAGGCAAACCAAAACCATGGCAATGTTTCAAAGACAAGGAAAATCAAAAGGCAGCAGCACCGTTTATATTCATTTCTTAGCAGATTTTTCAACATACATAATGTAAATTTTTAGCAATATGATAGCCTAGAATGGAAAAAAAACAGCACAGGCAAAATCCTAAGGGTAATAGATTCTATTTAGCTACCTACTCCCCTCTGGTGACAAGGCAGTGAATTTGGAAAATACCTCCTTGAACACCTCTCCACCTCCAGTGGGCAGGGGGGGGGGGGGGAGGGGGGGGGGGGACAATTGCTGGCAGAAATCTTGTGAAAATATTCCATGAGGGAACAGTATAGCTTTACAGTTTTTATTTCCAGAAAAGCCCATGTGGAGTATGACAATACAAGTAAACAGGTAGCATTTGTTAAAGTTACCACCTCAGCCCCGCCTGTGGAATGTTTGCTAATCACACCTGCAGTCTCTCAGTTTACAAAACAAGGGTGAGATAAATAAAAGGTATGACTGTGTAGTGGCATATGTAATTGTAGATTTATATTAGAAGCATGCTCAAGACAATAAACAGAAAATTATATTGAAGAATCACTCAGGAATATAAATGCAAATATAGGTGAAAAAGAGCTGAAGATTACTTATAATTAAATGGATTTCTAGTATTAAAGTGTGGAATTTAAGTTGTCTTGAAGTTTATTAGCCCAGGCCGAATGCAGACCATGTATTTACTGGAAAAGATTCACTTTAACAGTCATTATACAGTCAAGGCTTTGTGAAAGTGCTCAGGAAGCATGTTGTGCATGTCTGATTATGCAGGATTCTGCCAGACAATGCTGAAGTATAATGAATATCTGATCTTAATCACTTCATCTGCATTTCAATTTCATGTAGGTCTGATCATCTAAAACAACGTGGATGACACAGCTTTTCATATATTTATATAGCATTTTCTGCATTTCATCATATAGGTCAGCCTGCTTTTAATAAAATGTGGATTTTAGGTACATGTCCAAAGGAAAGTGAATTTTCTTTTCGATCACCATTTTTGTCAAACCTCTTTGTTTTTGCCATACTGCACACTGTAAAGGAACTGCAGTACCTGAAGATTTTTGAATACTAGTTCTGCCATGATAGAATATAAAAATATAATCCACAAACACAAGAAGATTGTCATACCACTCTGTATTGCTTTAATTCAGTTCCCATTGACATCAATGAGGAAATTAGGGCGCTACCATCCTGTATTTTCCATATTGAAAATTGGCAAAACAATAAACTCATCCTGCAGAAGTTACCATGTGATCTTTCAGTGTCCACAAGTAGCCATTGTGATAGATGTTGCAACTTCTTGCAATATCTTTGTGAGCTCTTGGTCTATTATAGCATTTTGGGCCACAAATGCTGTGTAATTCCATGGGGGAGGGTGAGCCTAGCTCCTCCAGAAACTAACAGGGAGGGGGAGGCATGGGAGAAGAGGCAGGCGGTGGTTATTGCACAAATTCATTCAGGATGTAACACCAGAGAATGATCTTACCTGGGAGAGGCGTGCATATTCTAGTTCAGACTGGATCCTCCAGAGACCTATAGACAAGGAAAGGATTGTTGATAAAAAAAAATAGCCTAAGTTTACACTGATTCAGGGCCTTCTTTCTGATCAAGCAAATGCAGAGGATCATTAGTCCAAAAGCAGGCCCCAATCCTTTATCCAAAAGCAATATGTCCAGGATTTTTGGACTTTGTGACTGGAGAGCTTTGTGCCCCCGGGTAAGGTTCAGTGTGGCTAACGCAGAGGTGAGCAATAAGTAGTCCTCAGGGTGGATATGGTTTGCCAAGGCTAGCCTCATGGGCCACCAGGACTTTATTTACCTACATGTCCACAGTTACAGCCATTTTCACCTGTTGGCCATGGATCACTGTTCCTTGGCAATGGGAGCTGCAGGAAGCATCCTGCATCTCCTATGGGATGGGAATGGCAACCCATAGCCAACAGGAGCTACAAATGGCGGGACCTGCAGACACATAGGTGAATAAAGCGTTAGTGGCTTGCCCGGGACTAGCCCTGGTAAACTGCCTCTGGCTTACTGTCCATCCCTAGTCTAGCACAGGACCATCGGGAGAAAAAGGAGGGGAGAGAAAGAAAGACTCAGGAAATGTTGGACAGCATGACCCTGGAGCTTTTGGTTTGGATGCTAGTTAAAGAGATTTAGGATTGCAAGCAAAAATGTTATCCCCCATTTTTGGTGCCCCCTGCATTTAGAAAAGCAGAACTTTGTACGTTTCTTGCATCAGATTGCGCCAAAAGACAATACCAGACTCAGTCATCAATTTTTACTCTTCAAAGCCCAAACTTTCAGTAGCAACAAGTCAAAAAGGGGGAAAGAAATATATATTGTAATGGGTGGCGCACATACGAAAATACTTCATTTAAGTGAATAAAGCAAACCACCACAACATACAAATGCCTTTCCAAAATGTGTAATCAAAGGGCGCCATCCTACCTGGGTATTATTTTACGTATCTTTCAGCTAACTTGGGAACACCATTCTAGTCCTCAGAGGTCCCATGCAGATTTGTTATAGACTCATTGGAACTCTAGATTTATTAAACCACTGAATTAACTAGACTCATCTATGCATGGAGTTTATTCACCAGTAAGAGATAATTTGAGTCATGTTTGTTCTTGCTAACAAATAAAAATCCAACTACTAATATTTGGTATAGCAATTTATTTTAGGTATACAATTGTGAGTGGAATTACTTGTGAATGCTAAAATGCACTCATCACAACACAGTCTGGTGCTGCTAATCTGGTTTATTGCCTAGTTCTGATAAATTTATAAGTCAGTTTAATCATCACTTTCAGAATGCTACATACTAGAAAGCTCAAGAACCTGGAAATTACTTTCACATAATGTGATAGGGAATTGTAACATTTTGTAGCAGTGGCACGTCCCTGAGTGAAATGGAAGGCACAATGTCATTGGGTTACCGCAAGCTGTTGGGGATTTTTGTTTGTCTTCTGTTTTTTTACAATAGCACACAATATCAGTTACTTCACTATTATTGGGATTGCTGTTTGTTATGTGCATAGAACCAAATGTGTTAGGCTCTTTGAAGACAAATATGTCATGATCATTGATTCAAAAAACTTTACAATCTAAAAAATGACCATAGAAGACTGATATAATGCAGTAAATAGAAACAAGTGAAGATTAAGCACTGTACCTTGTAGACTCCGTTGTGTTTTCTGCTTATCTACTTAGCTAATACATGCTTTCAAAGGAGTACAAACATACAGGCCCTCAGTGAAAAAGTGCATTTGAAGAAAGGATTAATGAAGATGCAATTTGCTCCAAATCAGGAAGAGTTTCAGTCATAGAAGGCCATATGGAAGAAGTCCTGGGATAATGAATAAACTTAAAAAACAAATAAAAGGTCTGGTAGCACTTTATAGACTAATACCACAGGTGGGCACAGCCCACTTCTTCAGATGTAAAACTCCGGTCATCTGAAGAAGTGGGCTGTGCCCACGAAAGCTCATGATACCATCTACATGTTTTGTTAGTCTATAAAGTGCTACCAGACCATTTTTGGTGTTTTAAGTTTATCCTGTACAGATTAACTCAGTTACCCCCTGAAGCTCCGATAATGAAGTGAGTGCATAATTGATGGTCCTGGGCAGAACAAAAGCACTAGGTGGAGTGGAGTGGATTGGATTAGATTAGATATTTACATGCTCCAAAATGCTGCATCAGCAAATGTTTGCAATGCACTGGTAAAGTATGTTATCTACACTGGAAACACGTCATTTGTAATGAAAGTGAGCTATAATTATAAAACAAAGGCAATGATTCTACTGTAGATTATTTTCATACTTTTGTTGAATGAGCACTTTAGACTTTCCAGTTTAATTTTTTTATATTTCTCATGTAATATAATTCTCACTCCCTACACTGATTTTTATTCTATCTAGCAAACAAACCATGAGGAAACTTATTCTGGATTCTACAAGCTTGAACAAGCATATCATGAAAAATATTTGGAAGTAAAAATAGCTATATAGCAGGGGTGGGCAAGATACGTCTCACGGGCCGAATCCGTTCTAGGACTCCCAGGCATGCAACAGCCACTGTTTTAATCACATGGCTGCTCTGTGTGTCTCTCTGCTCTGGAAGCATGGGGAAGCTTCATGTGATATCCCCTCACCCAGCCCAATCACCAGCTCCTATTGGCCGGACACAACCAGCCAATAGGAGCTGAGAGATTGGCCGGAGGGACGGGGCCAGTGCAAGCCTCTTTCTTCTCCCAGAGCTGAGAGCCACATGGAGGGAACAGCCTGCAGTTTTAAGCAGTCTGGGGATGCAGCAGACAGGGAGCCCAGCCTGCCTTGGGGTGTTGCAGGGTTGCTGTCCAGGAGATGCTTAGGTAAGCACCTCCTAGCCAAAGGCTGCCTCTGTCATCCCTGCCCCTCCCACACTCCAACCCCCTCCGCCAGGTCACCATCCAAACCCTCTGCACCCCTCTGCCCCAGGTCACAACTCCCTCCTAGACCCTGTACCCCCTTTTAAACTCCTCCCCCAAGCCAGAATCCTCTCCTGAACCCATATCCCTCCCTAGCCCTACACCCCAACTCCCTTGACCCAGGTCACACAACCCCCTCCTTCACCCAAACTCCCTCTCAGGCCTCACACTGTCTCCTGCACCCCAGTCCCTTACCCATGCACCCTTCTGCACCCAACCTCCACCCTAGACCTTGTACCTCCTCCACAGTAAAGTGCAACTTGAGACTGCTTTCCAAAATCTTGACATGGCCCCCCTATCAAACATTTTTGCCCACCCTTGCTATATGGGCAAGGGACATGTCATTTCAAATTCAAATATTCCTATAGCACTTTACTCAACAAGACCTCTCACTGAAGCGAATGTGCTATTCATTAGGGCTACGTTTACACGACGAGTTTTCTTGGGAAAAAATATGCTAATGAGGGACTCATTTGCGTGAGTCATGATCTCATTTGCATATTTTCTGCCGATCCATTTTTGCGCTAGGGGTTTTTGCGCAAAAACAAGCAGTGTGGACGTTCTAGCCCCCTGACAGATGCTTGTCAAACCTGCTCTTAAAAATTCCTAATAATGGAGATTCCACAACCTCCCTAGGCAATTTATTCCAGTGCTAAATCACCTTGACAGTTAGGAAGTTTTTCCTAATGCCCAACCTAAACCT